TACACAACACAGAAAAAAAATTCATATTACTAGAACACATTGGTATTGAAGGAACTAGATACTGTTCCGAAATATCACTTACTCGAACTGTCCTGACCGCGTAGCTCAGTTGGAAGAGCATTGGGCTAGTATTCCAAAGGTCGTAGGTTCGAATCCCACCGTGGCCGGGCATATTTTTCAAGGTCGCCCGGTGTGGATATACACTCAGAGTAACACCACAAATATCATATTCACCTGAGTACACTACACCAACACAGAAAAAATTCAAAAAAGTATGTGTTGGTTTTATGTGAACACTGATAAAGTTTGGTTAAAAATGTTAAACGCTTATTTAAAATCAAGCTTTTGGACTAAACGTCCATCATCAAAATTGACAAAAAAGTATTTTGCTAGAAATGTACCAAAGCAGTTAATACTTGTCACTCATCAGAATCCATTATTACTTGGGATAAAACTGCAAGGAATAGATAGACAAAACACCGGTTCCGTTGTATTTTATTCCATTTTCAATTTTTCATTCAATTCAGACGTAAATTTTAGATGTCAAGAGTATATTTTATCCATTTTTAGCATGGTCAAACATACTTGTCAAGTGCATGTGTATATGTGCAACAAATTTTATATGACAAGTTTTTGGTTTTGTGTCGGAAACTGACCTTATTATTTAGCACTAATTCAATTATAGTAAATTTTAGATTAATTAGGGATATTACATTACAAACGAATATAGACAATTATGATTGGGCAAAGTAATCACGTGATTAGGGCAGCATGACAATAACAAACTGATTTTGTGGGCTTGTATTGTGACTCATGTGTTGTTATATATACTCAGTGAGAGACGGTGATTTATATATCGAAACGATTGTGACATAGTGACCTTTTTATTAAATAATTTTTGTTTGTCGTTTATTGTATTTTAATTTGTGAACGTGTGGGGCTTCTGAAAGGTTTGAACTCCCTTTCCCCACATTTGTGACCGCCATGATAACTATTATTAGCCATTACATTTACAACAAATTGCTGACCAACCGCATGCAAGTGCTCAAATTACTTTTCAAAGTAAAATAAGTTTTCTTTGCTGTCAAAGTTGCAAATAAAACTTGCCACATAAAACTTGCTTGTCTGTAACCAGGTAACCCATTGAGTCGCATTGCACCCTGATACACCCTACTTTACTCTGTCTAACGCCAGATGATTTTACTCTGTCTAACACCAGACGATTTTACTCTGTCTAACGCCAGATGATTTTACTCGTCAAGGGGAGAGCGCTCGTGCTTAATGGGTTAACTGGCCTATCTGCCCATGTGTCTAGTTAACTGGCCTATCTGCCCATGTGTAACCCATTGAGACACATTGCACCCTGATGCACCTTACTTTAGTATTTTACTCTGTCTAACACCAGACAATTTTACTCGTCAAGGGGAGAGCGCTGGCGCTTAATGGGTTAACTGGCCTAACTGCCCATGTGTCTAGTTAACCCATTGAGTCGCATTGCACCCTGATGCACCCTACTTTAGTATTTTACTCTGTCTAACGCGAGACAATTTTACTCGTCAAGGGGAGAGCGCTGGCACTTAATGGGTTAACTGGCCTATCTGCCCGTGTATCTAGTTAACTGGCCTATCTGCCCATGTGTCTAGTTAACCCATTGAGTCGCATTGCACCCTGATGCACCCTACTTTAGTATTTTACTCTGTCTAACGTCAGACGATTTTACTCGTAAAGGGGAGAGCGCTGGCGCTTAAGAGTGAATGTCAGTAAAAATCGAACATATGAGACATTGCGCGGCCACGACTGAAAAATCGATTTTGCTCAAATTTTGCCCAGATATACCTTATTATATCGGAAAATGCACCATATATTTTTTTAGGTCAAATGCTTTTTTTAACTTTGAGAAAATGCCGTTTTAACACGACCACCCTAAATCGCCATTTTTCTGGGAAAATATGCGCTGATTTTACAGATAAATTTCACGACGACAACCGTTTCTAATCGATCTAAAACCCTAAAAATCTTGTTTTCGGTTATTCAAAGGACTGTGTACATGACTTACAGGAAATCTGAGTTACTTTTAGGAATAGATATAATCGTAGTTTTGGAGCACACTATCTTACTTCATTTACGATACCCTCTTAACAAAACCGATTTTCACCATGCGATAAAGCTCCAAATCGATCATGGTTCTACTAGTTGGCTCTTTAATAAGCAAGCTTTCAATTGACGTAAATACTTCTTTTGGCAAATGAATACGCGATAAACGACAGCGCGTTGAAATCGTCCGTTTTTGACGTCTTGCAAGTCAAACGCTGTTAATTTACATACCGTCGAAGTAAACAATTTAATCAAGTATTTTAAGTATTTTACCTTTTGAGAAGAAGATATATTCTTGAATGGAGACTTTTGCCTTGCTTAGTTTAAAATTGGTCCAAAAATCCAGAGATATTTGTAAAATATCATCATATAGGCCTACAGGTATTTTGAAATATAATATTGTTGTCAGTTGCATGACAACTTCAGATCATTGTTCAATATTGTCTACTTTTAATAGCGCAAACATACAAATCGATGAGCTGTTTAGGGATTTTATATTTGTTACTAAATTTCCCAAAATTAGACCGTCAATTGACAATTGTTGTTTTGTTCCAGTTTGCATTGATCCATATAATGTACCATTTAGTATTTACATATCGACTATCGAGTATAAATGTTTACGAATACATAAGTTAATTATTAAGCAGCTGTTAATAGCGGGCGTGTGAAATGAACATTTATCCATACAAGGATTTGTTATTTTATTATATATTCTACCACCTCAAACTCAAATTATAGGCATATAGCAAATACTGTAGTTTAGAATAATGTGTGTTTACTTTGATGCACAGTTAAAATAATCAGTAAAATTACTTTATTTTGATACACTATTAATGTCTATTGATGTACTGTTTAATTAATAAACGAGCAGGAGTGTTTTATTAGGTTTAAAGACACGAGCGCTCA